GAAACATTTCATCCGCCATTCGTCGATGCTACCTTACAAAATTACGGGGCTCTATGTAAATAACAAAGCGAAAGAATACAGGATTAAGTTTCGGAAGTTTCGGTACTAGTAACGGGCTTGACGAAAACATCGACTTACTGACGGACATCATTGATGCTCTGATCCATTCCTTAAGTTTGGCAAAATGGCTGAAGTGTACTGACTGAATCAATGTTGCATTTATTTTTTCGTTTTCTTTTGTAATTATTGGTGTTTCGTATTCTGTAAGGTAGCATCGACGAATGGCGGATGAAATGTTTTCCCCTATTTAGGGCTTCCTCATACGTCAGTACGTCAGTGAGTTCGTCACTCCGTCAATGAGTTCGTCACTCCGTCAATGAGTTCGTCACTCCGTCAATGAGTTCGCCACTACGTCAATGAGTTCGCCACTACGTCACTTGGATGATTGACGGACTTACGCAAATGACGGATTAAGCCAATGGCAATGAATAACGGAGCTACCGATTCATTGACGGAGTGACGAATGAATAAGGCGTGTATGTCTAGGGGCTACCTCATACGTCAGTACGTCAGTGAATTCGTCACTCCGTCAATGAGTTCGTCACTCCGTCAAAGAGTTCGCCACTCCGTCAATGAGTTCGCCACTCCGTCACTTGGATGATTGACGGACTGACGCCAATGACGGATAAAGCTAATGACGGACTGACGGGAATGATGGATCCATTGACACCAATGCCGGAGCGACGCATGAAGAAGCGCCCTACATAGAGCCCTGTAATTTTGTAAGGTAGCATCGACGAATGTCGGATGACGGATGAAATGTTTTCCCCTGTCTAGGGCTACCTCATACGTCACTCCGTCAGTGAGTTCGTCACTCCGTCAAAGAGTTCGTCACTCCGTCAATGAGTTCGCCACTCCGTCAATGAGTTTGCCACTCCGTCAATGAGTTCGCCACTCCGTCAATGAGTTCGCCACTCCGACAAGGAGTTCGCCACTCCGTCACTTGGATGATTGACGGACTGACGCCAATGACGGAGTGACGGAATCATTGACAGATGAATAAGGTGTGTATAAGCCCTGGATTATGTTATACGTAACTACGTCAATCCGTCACTGGGATGATTTGCGGACTGACGTCAATGACGGATTGAGCCAATAACGCAGTAGCGCAGTGATGGATGAATTAGCTGTGTATCAGCCCTGGACTACTTCATACGTCATTACGTCAATGAGTTCGCCACTGACGGACTGGCATATTTTTTCGTTTTATTTTAAGAAACGTTAGTATTCATCATTTTGTAAGGTAGCATCGACGTACGTCTTTCTAAAAATTTCATTTTGATTTCGTTTTGTGATTATAATTCATTAATATTACATTTTTTGTTCGGTAGCATTGACGATCGACGTTATGACGGAATCACTGACGTGAGTGGCGAACTCATTGACGGAGTGACGAACTCACTGACGGAGTGACGGGTGAGGTAGAATTGATTGGAGTCGAATACTATCAGAGAAGAGAAGTTGAAATTTGAACTGCATCTGAACTGTAGACAGATCAGAAATCGGTTAAGTTACTGCCATGCATAGTCTGTCTTTTAAGTCTCCGATTCTCTCAAAAACCAGCTAGATATTTTTTTTCTTATTGAATATAGTATAAGCCTTTATGACAATAGTTTGCCAGTCTCTTCTCTCGAGGTGGTTTGTTCACGGTTAAAGGGAGGCAATACGTTACTAACACTCAGACTACAACTAAATCATTCCTATACATTTTGTCATTTCATATCGTATTACTTTATCAACATAATTTCTTAAGAAATTATGAATACAGTCAATGACTATCAATATATAGGACGCATATAGGAAAATAAATTTGACAGTTCTTAACTGAGAACCAATGAGATAATCTATTTGATTATCTGTTAAAGGTATTTTAAAAATGTTTTCTTAATTTTTGATGTCTATCAAGGACTCTGATAACATCAATTTGCACCATTCCAAATTTCCGATCAGACGTCTGTGATTCTTGCAATTACACCAAAAATCAGTGTTTGAAGTCGTCACTTATCGCAAAATATCAGATAAGACCCTTCTCGAATAGTGACGTCATCAAACACTTAGTTTTAGTGGAATTGCAGCTTTATATGAAATTTGCACATGCTGTCTGAGATCAATTGAACTGAAGCTGATAAATTTCCTATCCTTCGATATACAGACTTAATCCCAAAAACCAAAGACAACTTTCTAGTGGGTCCAGTGGGTCTATTGACAATAATCTAAAAAATTTATAACAAAAATAATTTTTATTATGTTTAAAAATTTAACAAAAAAATCTTAAATAGACTAATTAAAATTCATTTGTAATAAAATTGCTATAAATGGAAGCATATATATATAACCTTGACCAGCAAAGTATACCACTACTAATATAGTATATGTGTGTTCAGAGTGAAATTCTACAGAAAATTCATTTTGACGTTTTCTTATGTAAACAAATTATCATGTAACTGTTGGATAACCTCTAAATAAAACTCTAAATCAGGGGACTATAACAAACATGTACTGTTCAACAGGCCCTTAGCTACAGGGTGGAATAACATTCTGACAACTGACCAATTACATTACTTCAACTATATGCCATACACCATTGCCCTTAAGGATATATAACTTGCCCCTCCAACAATCAAATCTAGCTAAGGGCCTGAGTGGTCAAGATGTGACTCTTTCAGTAAAAAACAAAAAGGTGCTATGAAACATATTGCTCACTGAATGCAAAGCAGGTATACATACATTAAGAGATATATCATCAAACAATTATTAAGATCAGCCTAATTAAAATTAATTAAAAAGATGGATTTGAAGGCTCAAACTTTGATGGTGAGCTGTGATCACTATTACTGATAAGCTTAGCTATAACACTCCCATTTCTGAGACTAAGATACAATTGGTCAAGCATATGGCGAACCTGTTCCTTTAAGTTTTGCAATCATAATATTAAGCATTAACATTCTTCTATTCCATAAATTAGCACGGATCTATCCATTTCATTCCTATCATATATAAAATCATCTTTAAATTTATTGATATACTATGCCTTTTCTGCTATTTAACTGATAATATACAATATTCCTAAAAAATAAAGCCACTGCAGAAATGTTTGTATCATTAAAGTCAATGATCAAGAATCTCAAGCTTGCTTCTTTATTATATAATAATATATTGTGCTTGTTAATTATCATGTCAGCAGTAGTGACTGGACTAATAGATATTTAAATAATGTTAGATATTTATGTCCCATTATTTATACTGGCGATTGAAAGCGTGATTGACAACAAAATTCCACTGAGTGATATTCACTCTAAAATATTCGCTATCTGTGCCCCTTTGTGAATGGACATAAATTACAACGATAAGATACTCTCGTCTGCACCTAGTAAGGAATTATTTAATCGATGCTATTAGTGTCCTCTATACACATAGAAAATTTAGAAAACCTCTTTAATAACTTTTCAGTATCATGTCAAATTTCACGCTAACCTCTAGTATCTACATAATACTTTACCTCAAATACATTGCTTGATCAAATATAAGAATGAAAATACATAACAATAAACATAACCTTATATATAGAAATAAATTATTTAATCAAATAGGACTTGTAGTTTTTCAGCTTTTTCAGTTGTTTTTTAAGATCATTGATTAAATCAGAAGGTTGTACTACAATAGTAATATCTTTACCTACAGCACCAAGTCGATGTTCTATCTGAAATTACAAATTCATGTTTTTTTTTACCAGCAAGAAAAATCAACTGAAAATTAGGCATTATAAAATTACAAGTGTGCAATAAGGTAAAACATATTAAAATATCAAAACCGAACCAGAAACATATTCTGTTTTAATACTTGTATATTTCTGTATTGCCCTACAATTGATGTATACAGCACTGTTTTAAAAGCAAAAGTACTTATTTACACTGTTATTGTATTGTAGTATGATATATTTAGACAGATGTGATTAAACAAGCTTTTTGTTTTAAGTTAAGTTACTTAAATGTACTAACCTCCATGTCTTTAAAGAAAAGATTTAAGGTTTGACTGTTGATCTCTGTGATGACCCAATTACATAAATTATTATCAACCATATTGTGTGATTTTAAAGGTAGACCATGACGTCCAGCTAAACCATATGGATCAACATATAGTATCTACAAGATCAATAATTACCATTGTATATATATATATACAAAGAAATATTAAAGTCGAATCGAAGATAGACAAATTTAACAGTAAATTTATTCTTTACTTTTATAAAATTCTCATTAACAGTGGTTATCGCCCACTTACCCAATGATTATTCAGTATATCAAGGGCTGTAACTCAACATTATGTGTCTAATACATAGCCTAATTTCAAATACTGACTTGCCCAAGATCAAATTTCATACAATTTTGGACAAAAACTTTTGCCTCTATTGAATTCACAAGCCACTTTCAACACATTTTCAGTATATCAAGGGTTTAAAGTCTGTTAACACTGGGCATACAAAAATGATTACCTCTGCAGTGCCACCTTCACGTTTAATACCTATACTTTCTCCTTCAGCAGCTCTCCTCATAACAAATACACGAGCTTTAGGCAGACGTTTTAACTGTATATCTACTGTAGAATAATCTGAATGTTTGATTTGTTTATAATAACTTGCTGACGACTGACAAGGTACATTATTGACTGATAATATTTTATCTCCAATATGAAACTTATCATGTAACCTAGGAAAATCAACTAGGTTCCATCCACTTACCCTGAAAATACAGAAAAATAAACTCTTAATCAAACTACATAAACATTCATGACATTAAACCATCGACTTGTTTAAAATAAAATCAAAAAGACGTGGAAATTTTCTGGAAACTTACTTACTTATATTATGATTATGCTTTACATTATAAGACTTTCTTACCAAACACCACTGAATGAATCCACAAGGGCCAGCCCATGGAAATAGTCTTTCTTAATTTTGACAATTATACTGGGTAATAACATTTCTTCTTTCAATATCTCTACTTGATTTTGTTTTAATGATATAACTGTTTGAAAACTTTGAGCTCTATCTAGTCTCATTCTGCTCGACAATTGCCTTCTAGATTCTCTATCGTCACTAGCATCTGTACCTACAATTAAAACCTGTAGAATAAGAAAATCATCATCATCACCTCCAATATGAGCATATAAATATAAGGATAAACTGTTATAAGTTTAATTTAAGAGATAAAGATTGGCTGTGCAACTGATTAGGCTCACCTTGGGTAATCAGTCTGAAAAGTTCAAACATGAACGAAACTAGTCACTGATAATCACAGATAACTGATCTTTATCTCTTATATTATATTTTACCTCTGCCAACGACCCAGTTATGTTCGTGACCCCCGCAGGCAGTCCTGATCCCCTTTTAAAACTCAGAATCTATAACCGCCCTGATCGAAGATAATCCATTGGCTAAAAGATAAAGAGTCTACTTTTCCACAAACAAAGTCTGCCAAAGCTAACACTAAAGAGATGAATCTATCCTAAGACAGAAACACACCAGTCGCCTCTCACTTCCATTTACCGAGACACTCCAGTCAAAATCTCAACTACCTAATAATAAACCGACTCGACACCAAACATGATCTAACACAGTCCACATCCAATAGGCCCTCCATTTAACTCCATTGGATTATCGGTTTGCAAACTTTCCAACCTCATGGGATCAATGACAAATCTAAACCTGATCACCCCCACTTCTCTCTTTGTTACTGTAATAAGTTTAGTCAAGATAGAACAAACACTGTATACAATCTTTTTCCATTAGCCAATTTTGACACATTTATGTCTAAGTCAAGGGCAAAAAAATTAAAAAGTAGTTCCCATGTCTTACCATTGTAGGAAACCCTTCCCCTAACACTACCAGAGCGTATCGGTATTAGAGGTGCTGATTCTGCTGTTTTCTTTCTGACTGGTGGTAGAGGTTGTCTCAGTTCCTCTGATTTCACTTTATTTCTCACAGGAAGTGGTGGTTGTTCCTGTTTTCCATTCAACTCTTCAGATTTGATTTTATTTCTAGGTGGTAATGGTGGAATGGAAGGTTGACTTTGAATCAATGATCTTAAATCAGTAGAAAAATCAAAATCAGGGTCAATCGATGGACTTAAAATAACATTGGATATTCTGTTTGAAGTTGTAGAAGGTTTATTTAAAATTAAAGAATCAAATCTTGGGGGAACATCAGGAGCAGATGATACATTATCCATAGGAGGAAAAATACCCTCATAAACATTTTCTTGTTCTTCTTCTTCTTCAAGTTTTGTATTTGTTTGATTTCTGCGTGGTCGGGGAATTGGTGGAGAATGAGATGATGACTGGTGATCATTCAAGTTAACAACTTTTAAACCATTTAAACTGGATTCCTTGTGAAGTTGTTCAGATGATGTTTCTGAATAATGATCATTACCAGAGTCAACAGGGGATAATTGAGACAATTTACTTGGCTGTGGTATCGGACATAAAGGTTCTTCAAAACAACTTGTACTGTGATTTGATGGCGTTGTTCCATAATCATTAAAATTGATTAAATTTGGGATTGGTTCTCTAATAGGAAAAGGTGCATAGTCATTTTCATTGATTTGTTTAGACTCATCAGAGTTTGAGACTGGTGTTGTTGCTGAGGAGCAATTACCCGGTTGTGGTGGTAAACTAACAGTTAATTTTTCAGATGGATTAGGTTCCTTGTGACTTTTGCTATTATCAGAGGAAGCCGGCTGAGATGTTGGTGATTGTGTTGTTGATTGTCGAAGTCGAAGCTCGGCAAATTCTGTTAGACCACAATATTCTCCATCTGAATCAATATTACTGTCACTTTTCTTATCATTGTTATTATAACTGAGTTTGTTTCTTTCCCAGAATGAAGCATCTTGAAAATCACAGGATCCTGAAAACTCATCTTGATCACTACGTGTTTCAACATCTACCATCTCAATCTTGGGTTCAGATGTTGGTTCTTTAGTCCAGTCAAAATTGAATTTTTCTGAAGTTTTCCGACTAGCTGGTCTGAGATCCTCATCAGACGCCTTTCCTTGTAAGTATTGGATCTGATTGTCTCCAATTTGCCCAAATATCTCTTCTCCATCATCATCTAAGTTGTTGATATCTTCTGTTGTGGAATATACAGTTGTCTCACCACCACCAACTGCACCTAACAATTCTTCATCATCACCATCTTTATCATCTTTACTATGACCTCTTAAATTCACCACAGCTGCACAAAAACTATATACATGATCATCATTTCTTTTCTACAATAATGAAAATATTTCAACAAACATGTTATTGTAACAATTCATTTATTCATATTCCCAATAAAGTTACTCATGAGATCTAAAAGGAATCTTAATACCAAGTTGATATGATTATAGTGAATGAGAATTAATTTAAATGATAGATTAGATTTTACTTATTATTTTTATAGTAGTTTAATCAGTTCTAAATCAATTATTATAGTCTTAAAATGGTATTGTGTTCATATAAAAAATATGAATCTTTGCAAGAAACTCAATTGTACATTATGACATAGATTGCATTAGTACGTAAAAAAGTATATTTGAAAGTGTAAAACAAGTAAAAAATATCATCTGAATACATACCTCAATTATACCCAATTTGTGTAAGCATGTTTCAATAGCAGACACCCAACTTAATAATTGTGCTCTAGAAATATAACGCAAAATGTAACATTAAAACAACATACAGAAACTGCTGTCCAACTGTAAGGTATATACATTGTGCAAAAGCACCACCAGGAATATTAAAACAAAAAATATAAAAATAAGAGTAACAGTATTGTGTGATAGTTTAAATTGCAAAATGTAATACAGTTGCGAATTTACCCAAGTTGCATCCCTTTATGACTTAATCTATTATCTGTAGCTATCATCCTTCATAATGTTAACTGGACAGTACACATTATAATAACTAACAATTTTTTACTTCAATCTTTATTACAGGTATCAACAACAATAACTAGAGCCACAAGTGGCACAGCGTTGGACATTGCTAATGTGGCGAATTGCAAGAGATTCATTCTAGTAGTAGGTTAATTAGGTCACGTGCCATAACTGTCTAAAGTTATGACATTTTCTGTCTTTGGAAAGTTGTGAAATAGACGTTACACATCAGAAATGAAAGTATCAGCGAACAGCCAAAGAAAATGACCTCTGACCTTGTAAAGGGGAAAGTCAACGAAGGTCAAGGTCACGAGATATAACTCATCAAATATTCAAAATGCCTATGGCTACAAAACCGGAATCTTTCGTCAGACATCAAATATGAAAGTATAAATAGGTCAATGACCACGCCCACCTCCACCTTTTTGTTTTTTTTTGACGTCATATTCAAAATGTCTAGTTGAGTTCCAAATTTCAAGCTTTTACATCAAATAAGTCATAACATATGCATACAATAAGCTCAAAAAAAGAGTCAAAAATATTGTAAAAAAAAACTCAAATATAAAAAATTTACGATTTTCAATTTTGCTTTAAAAAACTATTATATACTACATATATCGTTGGAAAGAACATGAGAAGTACTTTAAGAATCCGAAAAAATTAACCCTCTAGGTTAATTAGGTCAAGTGCTACAGAAGTCCAAATTTGCAAATTTGACTGTTTTTGGACACCTATAAAACCGGAAGTAGATATCAGAGGTCAAATGTCAAAGTATCAACTAATAGCCAAGGTCGATGACCTTTAAACTTATGAAGGTCAAGGTCATCAAAGGTCAAGGTCTAGAGATATAAGCCTTCAAACTTCAACAAATTTTAAACGGAAATTTCAAAAAAGCAAAAGCAAAATTCAAAAATCGGATTCCACAGTTTTTTTCTAATTTATATTTTCTTTCATTTGACACCAAAATCATCTAAATTTGATAAGCTGTTATCTCTGAATAGATTTTGAAGCATTTCAGGAAAATCAAAATGGCGGCCAAAGTATCACTTCCTGAATGGATTTTATTTTGAAATCTGATGAGCAAAATTTTGTTGATTTCCCGTTTAAACCAGATGTGAAGTTGATATTGCAAGTATATAGCTTCCAAAAATGCAAACCCGAAAAATAATGACCCAGAAATACGACTTATAGAGCTGATTTTCTATTTTTGCACATTGAACTTTGCACTTCCGGTTACGCAAGAAAGATCCATTTTTATCTTTATGCACATTGTCACCTATATCTAAGGCACGTGAATGTTGAATGGTTGCTGCAACTACTGCAGACTAAGCACAGGAAGGTGTGGACAAATCGAAAAAAATCACATTTCGTTAACAAACAATAACATAAGAAGTTAGCATGACTTTTTATGGAAAAAGGACTCAAAATGTTTTCTGACTGAATATTCAAATTCCAGTGCACATAAAAGCGAAATTGAATTTGAATGGAGTAATAATCAACAAGTGAAACAATGGAAATCGATATTAAAACTAATTAACTATATGTGGTTTAGAGGGGTTTCATTATAATAACTTATGACTGTTATAGTATTTAGTTTATGGTGGATAATGTATTGGATACTATGTTTAGAGTGTTTTGTGGATATAGCAACTTACAAGTTATCCCTATCACTGTCTAAAAAATAGCGAAGCCATCGTAATACGCCCACATTTGTAATGGCAGCTAATTTGTCCGGGAGGTTGACAAGAGTTATCAGTAAATGAATGTTTCTGAGAGTGAAACTTTCATATTTCATGGGTTTTGTTTACAGCTTTTTTATTCAAGTGGGATTAATTGAACATGTCAAGTTTCATTTAATCCAAATAAAATTGAATCTTTTGAGTGGCAGCAATTGGCAAATCTTTGTGTTAAGACAGTTATATATTTAAGGACAGACAGATGGACAGACAGACAGACAGGGGCGAAGGCTTTATTATAGGGTTTATCCTTGTGTGATTACAAACACTCACACCAAGTTTCGTCAAAATCCATCAATGTTGACATTGTGGACAGACGGACGGCTAT